TAAGTCATTTTCCCTTGTTTCTTCTCAGCAGGTTTTGAAAATGTTCTCACGTGATAGATTAATCCAACTGAAGTCAAGAGAGGTGCATGCATCTAAATCTGAGAACACTTAGTCAAACGTTTTCTGTATTTTCCATGTTTAAAGGTCAAGAAATAGTTCAAAACATGTTGGTGAAAAAGAGACCAGAATAGAAGCAAATCTTGTAGAAATAAGACCTTTTCAGTCATTCCATGGAAATCTCTGGCAGAACAGCCTCCCAGATAATTAAACAGAAGGGATAAAAGAACACTAAATTCCTAACCTTTCAATTCCAACTGGCAATTTAACGTCAAATGGAAAATAGTTGTCATGTTCTAAATTTACATTAGGTGGCACCATCCTCACAGATTCATGTTTTACGTCTAAAGCTGTAAAACATTCAGTCTGCAATCGAGTATGAAATACCTTGATTTGCAACCAATAGAAACATTTTACACTATTTAGGCAAGAAAAAGTACTTAGTTGCAGCATAAAAGAAATCTTCGTTACTAAAGAAAAGCTGTAAGGAATAGCTATCAGGAAACAAGAAATGCCGAGGGATTTACTACTAAACCTTGAACTCTTAACAGGCTCATTATGAAACCTGCAATGCACACTCCATCCCTAAATAGATTCTGTTCTCAGAAAAATAATAGCTAAAACCCACTTATGATTCAAGTTATTTAGCTGGGTTATGATAATTTTCCAGGACCCTTAAATTCTTTAGTTATTAATAAAGGAATATCTCAAAGAAGTTGACTGAGGTTGCCAATTCCATTTTGTGACATTTGTCACTACTTCACAGTGTGGTTATCCTCGTGTTAAAATGAAGTCAGAACTTCCGAAACACTTTCAGAAAAGGAGTGAAGGAGTGGTAATTGGCAACAGCAACCAGTATCTATTTCAACTCTTCTCAAATCACTTAAGTGTCAAGCAAGGCATGGACTTACAATGGTATTCAGTGTCTCTAGGTGGTACCCCAGAATCAATGGCAATATGTAAGAAAGTAGGTAGATACAGCTTCTGAATCCTATTACAACTGGTGCTAATGGGAGGGCTTTTCATAAGCTTTAAGATTTGACCCTGTAATGATAAATATCCTTCCACTCTGTTTATGTCCAAAGAAAAAAGCTATGATAATTTGAATTTATGATTCAGGGTAGATGATTCAAGTAAAAAGCATGTTAAGGTACAGAAGACCCTAAATACTTAGCCTTACGGTATTTCATACACACTCACATGCCAGGTGGCATTCTACTGAGCAATGCCTGGGCACAGGACTTAGCACAGGCCAGCTGCCATTCCTAATAAGTGGCTTAGATATGCCAAATCCATTTTGGAAGGCAGAAGCTATTAGACATAAGGGCATGAGTCACATGGTTCCAGTTAACCTCCAGATCCAGGAGATGTTCTTGGATATATTTAATGTTTACATTTAGGCTGACAGTCCAATATGGGAAAAGGAGGTAGAGATGGTCCTTTGGGCCTACAAGGATGCTTGAGAGGGACTCCTCATCAGAGACTGTAGTGATAGGACAAGGGGTAATGGGTTCAAACTTAAACAGGGGAAGTTTAGGTTAGATACAAGGAAGAAGTTCTTTACTGCGAGGGTGGTGAGGAACTGAAATGGTTGCCCAGGGAAGTTGTGAATGCTCCATCCCTGGCAGTGCTCAAGACCAGGCTGGACAGAGCCTTGGGTGACATGGTTTAGTGTAAATGTCCCTGCCCATGGCAGGGTGGTTGGAACTAGATGATCTTAAGGTCCTTTCCAACCCTGACTATTCTAAGATTCTATGATTCGATGGTAATAGCACATAGGAGGCTATGAAATGTGTGGCTCCTATGAGATACTTGTGAAAGCTATGGTAAGTAAACATGAAAAATTAGTTTCCCCAAAGTCATTGATTGAAGTATATTTGCTTTGTGGTGAAAGTACACATAACACATCTGGTCAGCTACTGGTAAAATAACAATCTGAAAGTAATAATGAAGTTTGCAATGGTCCTTAGTTTCTGCTGGAGATATCTCAAAAGCCTAAAGTAACAGCTTTCTCACAACTTTCCTGAATCTGTATGAATTGCGGTTGACGTAATTATTAAGACTTCACAAAAATTTGGGAGGATTTTCGCATGTGTGATGAAAGGCTTATTTTTGACATAAAAACTATCCCTCTGCTAAACTTACAATTCCTGCTTCAAAGCAGGGTGGTGCTGGAGAATTTTACAGAAAAGATCTCAAAGTATTAACATGAGCAAAGTGGCACTTTGTTCCTAGTCTCTTTCACTGAAGGAGCTAAATTATTTGGCTGAAATATTACAGCATTCAGCCAGGAACACAGGCAGGGTATGAAAGGTTTTGGCTTAAACTCAGTGTTTCAATAAGGTATAAACAACTAAAATCAGTATTGTATACTGGGAATGAAAGCTGTCTTCACTGGTGTCTTCAGAGGCACATAATAAGTGATGTGGCTCACACCATGTGTAACAGACACATAGAGTTCTGAGCCTGCTTCTTCTCTTTCCATTATTGCAGCAGGGAAAAGGATCTTTTAATAGAAATACCAGAATAGTTTAAAAGGTTGTTAATAACCAAATCTATATAATATTCATTTATTTTCCACCTAGCATTCCATTTTAACTAGAAGCTCAAGAAGCAACCAGGAAATAAACATCATCTGAGAGTATTTCTAGCAGTATTCTCTAGGACATGTCCAAAGCAGACCTCAGTCTTCCAAGCCCATGAGAGACAAGGAGACCTGTGAGGAGTGAGAGATGCATATCAGTCCTTCCTGTGTGCCAGCTGATGTTGAGAAGGTGCACATGCCAGTACAACTCAGCAGCAACAGACATTCATTTCTTGCAGGCTTCAGCATCCATACAGAGAGTACAGAAGTCCTTTGCACAGCTGCATCAGAGCATCTTTAAAAGAATTTCAGAGAAAAAAAAATGTAGTTTTCAAGGTCTCCTTTTTCTTATAAGGTATTGCAGTAACCTTCCTGTGATTGTTTCAACGAGATATTGCTGCATGGGGCTGGTTGTGGCTCCACAAGTCTTACAAAATGGTATTGCGCCTCCTCTAAGAAGTTCTTATCAACTTTTCCATCAAATTTTGATATTTGCCAATACTAAAATAACTAAACACAAATATTGCAAGATAAGGGTCTTCACTGAATTCTGATGAAAGGATGCCTAGCCACATCCTACAGGCTTGGGCATTTTTTGTGCCTAGAAATGAACAGCCTGCCTTCAACACATGCCTAGTGAACAGCCTACCTTCGACATATGACCAGCTCTACACTCCCTAGCACAAATACACAGCCAGTGTTAGGTCCTCCAACTCCAATGAAGAGCTCAAATGGAAAACTTATGCTAAAATGAGCAAGATCCCTTCACCCATGCTTTGAAAGGAAGCCACAGCTATCCATCCTCAATCAAGAAGTCCCACACAGAGCACAAATTCACGCCACAGAGGAATCATTGTGTTTGTTATGCTTTCCTCTTCATGAGAGCATCTATGTACTAGCACAAGGACTTGTATTCCCACAAAGAATAACAGACTTCTATTGACCAAAAGTCAGTTCTGTCAAGCTTTGACATCAGTGATGTGAAAAACAGCTGAGGGTTCAAATCTGATGATAGAGACTTTTACAGTGTCACATAACAAAAGTTTTCAGTCACCTTTTCAAACCACAGCTAAGGAATTAACTTTAAAATGAATATGCAGAAAGATTACTTAGGCTGCAAGTTCTCTTGATGTCATTTACAGTTTTAGCCATATGACTGTGGGACCACAGCTGGTATGTGACCAGCTGTCAAGGAATGCAGGCTGAGGAACTGAGGTCTGACACTGAAAGTTAGGAATCATCAGATAAATTATTTCCTGGCAACCTTTATTCTGTTTGCTCATACAATTGCATTTAAATATAGTCTTTAATTATGTAATCACATCTTCTTCCCTTTTTTGCCTCTTACACTCAATTCAGACAATGGATATGCATGGTAGGCAAATTAAGGCTTTTGGAGGCAACTGTAGATGTGCACCAGACCCTTAATCTTAAATCATTTTTTTCAACATAGTTCTTTTTTATATGTGATTTATATGAACTGACAACATCAGTCAGGTGAATTTTGAGTGTCTTTTACCACAGCTTTGCAAGAGATCAGCAGAAGCAGTCTTTGCTTTTCATGCATCACAAGCTTGATCTCCAACAAGCATTGCTATGTGAAAAGTTTCGGTATTCAGTTGGTTTGTTTCCAGAGAAAACTGTTTGTACTAAACACTAAAATGTGACCATTTTTCATGCGAGATGTTGCACTTTCACTGAACATCATGAAAAAATATGGGATACTAGCAATTGAGTTACAGTTCCCACAAGGCACAGAAGTAGCATTCCGCATTTAAAAAATCCAAGCAAACAAACCAGTTTTAAACATCAAAGTTTGAGGTTGGAAATTGATGAGGTCAGGCTCAGACCTTCAGCATTCAATTTTTCACTGAAAAACCAGTATTTTCTTTGTGGGAAGAAAGTCAGTCTTCCTACTAATTCTGCTTCCAAGCAGTAGCCAGCACTGTTTGAAAACGTTACTAGGCAATGGCAGAGCAGCAGAGAACAAATGAAACAAAATTCTTTCCTCAATGTACTTTAACTTGCATATGAATTTCAAAAGAAGAAACTCTTTCTAGTTTTGTTTACTTAGCCTTTTTCAGCTCCTTTGTTTATGGTTATAATGAAGTTCTAGGGGCAGGATGACCCCCTCCTAAGAACTCTGGTTTTTTGTCCCTGCCAGTCTATTGCTCCAAGGGTTGAAAACACATTATGGTGGGTTTTTTTTCTCAGCAGTTTAAGAAGCTTTGATATTTGTTGTTTAACGCCTGTTTAAAAATATCTTTTCCAACACACCACGGACCAGACCTGAAAGCTTTTTGCATTGTTCAGAAGAGGGTTATTAGTTCTGGTTTAATCTGGATAAGTTGTATGGCTTAGATTGAAGATTTGCCCTTTATTGAACTAGGTGACTCATCCGTCATGGCTGCTTCTATTCTGGTCTGTCCATATCTTCACACTGTTTTTCTGGGTTTGCCTGCAGTTTGTGCATGGCTGACTTTAGGCAAATGTTCTTCATTTTGGCTCCTCTTTTCAGTCTCGTAACTAAGCCTAAAGTGAGAACATAAAATAAACCAAATAACCCAGGATTGTGATGAAAAACAAAGCTTTCTTAGAGGTCATTAACCTGTGAACCTATTTAATCAGTCAAGAAGATTCAACTCTATCATGGACATGAGAAATATTTAAAGCTTATAAGATTTTAATATGATAGAAACTTTTGGCTGAGGGGCTTTTGTATTAAATTCTTTTATGAATATTTAGGAAAACAGATTTTTCAGTCTACAGGCCTGAGACTTTCTTTCGGCTTGCACCAGACATCCTGTGCCTGCAGCTAATAAATTGCTGCAATATCAAAATTTAAAAGGCAGTACTGTAGATTCCTATGGGACTCCTCTTTTCCAACAGCCCTTCATGCTACCAAAAGACCCTTACCCACTAAAATCAGTTTTATCAGAATTAGCTTGATGAAGATTGCCCATACTATCTCACTGCTTTATTAGGAGACAGGGAATCCCCTGCACACAAGAGGCACCTCTAATCTGTTCAAGAAATTATAATTAGTAATTGGTTTTGCTTATCTGAATCAAACACACTACTGTGCACTGGATATGGCTCTTTCAGAGAACCTCTGCTGCTTTCTGGAAACATTTCTCGAGAAAAGCATTCTCTTTTTATGGCATAGTTATAAAGTGCTGTTTTTTTTATTATAGTTCTCATTTTCATTATTATTAAAATAAACATTTCCATTAAACCAGGATTTTTATTCATTGAGAATTATTCATAATGCCAGCATTTTTTTTATTCATTAAATTATTTTCATCTTTGAATAGCAATAAAACATGTTAGTTACTACTAAGTAGTTACTATCTATCATGTTAAAATAGTATAAACCAATTCTTTTTTTCCATTAACATCATAAACGTATATGTGATGTTGCAGTAGACTGTCATTAAAAATACTATTTTCACACACATATTTATGGTATTTTTATATAGGTGATAAATGAGTGCCAAGAGAACTTTCACACAACTGTTTCTAAAATAAATGAGTTAAAAACCAGCACAGCACAAAAACTTACTGATCTTTGCTGCTTTCAGACTACTGTTACTTCCTACAGTCCTGCTCTGGAATCTTCATGTCATGTGTAAGTGAATCTAGGGCACAGGAATATGGATACTGTTTGTAAAAGATACTAAAGAAAAAAATCAAATCAATAAATTTTATTTTATTAGCACACTTGTTCTCATTTTGTTGCACAAGATGGTGCAGCCATTGCAAAAATGCCGCAAAGAAAGAATTCATAGAATTACGGAATCGTAGATTGATAGAATGGTTTGGATTGGAAGGGAACTTAAAGATTGTCTAGTTCCAACCACCCTGCCATGGTCAGCGACACCTTCCACTAGACCAAGTTGCACAAAGCCCCATCCAGCCTGGGAATGGGGCACCTACAACTTCTCTGGGAGAGAATTGTTAGGAATCCTAAGTGTTAGAAGATAATTTTCTATGAGATTAAAACATATTGTTAAGTTTTAGGAAGCAAAATAACATATCCTTAACATTTTTGTGCCTATTAAAGCTTCTGACATATTTTATTAATTCACAGAGGTATAATATTGTAATCAAAGCTACTGTTCTTTTAATCCTCCCCTTCTCATAATGAAGGTCTTGAACCCAGTTTTTAATTTTCAAGTCCAATCTTTTCTTTTTATGAATACAGACTAATTTTTTCCACCGATGTAAGGGGAAGTACAGGCCATATTTTTGATCCTTATTATAATGTTCCCTATTGCTCAGTACAGGCATAATTTAATCAGCTGGGAGAAAAAAAAAAATAAAAAGTAAAACCACACAAAAAAAAAGCACTAAAAAAAAATGAAGAACACACACACAAAAAAAGCGCTAAAAAAAAAATGAAGAACACAAACAAAAAAAAAAAACACACCAAAAATTTTAAAGTTATTGGTGTTGGATATCCGCATGAAAAACTGTTCATACATCATATTGTAATGTTTTGTTTTCTTAACATTTGTCAGTACATCCTTCCTCCTTTCATCATTCATGATCCTTTCTTTTCCTTTACTAAGACAGGATTTCCATTTCAAAAAGGATTTTCACATGATTTAAAGTATTTTTTGGACTTTTTAAATAATCCCTCAAAAGCTTGCCAAACTCCATGTCCACAGTCTAGTTCCAGAGGCATCAAGGAGGATCATCTAGTTAGTTTTTCCTTCTCCAAAGTGCTTCTATATGCTTCAGAAACTAAAATCCTTCCTGTAAAATTCTACTATTTCTTCATGTACTGGCCCCCTGGAATTCACCTGCTTAACAATTAATTTTTCCTGTGAGTTTTGAAACATGGAAGATAAAATGATTAATGTGTTTGCAGAAAAATACTTCTTTTCATGGAGACAAAAAAAATACAAAAAAAAAAAAGGCAAACGCCAAACCAAACCATCCATATTTAGCTCTACATGAAAGTAAAAATTTTGGAGAAGTCAAATGACGCTTTCTGACCCTTTTCATCATCATGTAATCTTCTCAGCCTATTCCTGTCCAGTATATCTTCCCTAGAAAGTCTTCTGCTATTGCTGATTTGCAAAGGTAATTTGCCTATCAGGTTTTCAATTCACGGCACTTTCTGGCTGTTTAAGCTGTGGACACTTTCCAGTGACCAGGTCTGAAAACACACACTGAACCTGTTCCTATGCAGTTGAAACCTGGGAATTCCTCTACCTGAAGACAAACTGGGCACCCAGGCCAGAACACAGTTCTTCTAACCACCAGCAGTACCCCACCTTATGCTGTGGGCCCTCCCAGGGAACACTCCTGCCCTCTTTATCAGAAATATGCATATGCATGAAGGAGGAATTTTGTTAAAACATCTTTTCATGGCAAACATATTGCTGCAAAATCTGGATGATCCATCAAAAAATCATTTTTTTAATGAAAAACACTAAAACACAATAGCTCACCTTATCATGAATGTAAAAGTGTTCCTTACTACCTACTGAGCAATAACCATGGCTTCAGGAGCCTTGTCATCTAAGAGCTGTTACCCCCCTTTGGCTTCTACGAAGCTTCCTGGCCAGACTATATTTCCCATTATTTACTGGAGACAACCCTTACTAGAATGGTATTTCTTCATCAGAACACAGGTTTCATATTGTGAGTTTTTCATTCTGTTCCTCTTTCCCCTTTTATTGGACCATATTTCTGAGATGGAGGTCTGGGGCATCCAGGGCTGAAATTCATTCAGACTTCACAGTCCTCAGGCACTACTGGGACTTTGAGAGCTATGAGTCGCAGCTTGCTATATTTTCCCTATGGTAAATTCACAGCATCAGCTGAGCACCCTGTCGGCTTTAGAGCACCCTCATGCTGCCCTGCCCCAAAGATTGGGTATAAAATAGAAAGCACAGAATGCATCTTCTGGTACCTTCAGGCTCCACCATGCTGTATAGCTCAGCCACCCATCTGGAAGTTCTGGATCCATGTACAGATAACAGTTACACAGTTCCCTTTTAATGAATCCAGGACTCAACTGCCGTAGAAAGCCAGCAGACTATTTTAATCTGAGGTTGAGGTCCAGAGATGAAGAAAACTGCTGATGGGCAAAGCCCATTTGCCAGCCATTTTTTACCAATTAGAAGGTTTAACAGAGAATGGTATTAAATTCAACTCCTTTCACCACTTACTTAGTCAAACTAATCATTAATTCATTAATGTGATGGGTCACTTGTATCCATGGCTGAAATGCCACATATTTCAGTCTGACTCATTGCCACTGTTTAAGTTCTGAATTGTTTTGTCTCACAGTGCTTTCAGCTATGCTGCTAGTCTTTGTTTACTCATATTAATAGCTTTGCCATAGCCTCATGTCTTCCTCTTCGTCACCCTCCCAGCATCTGTGGGCACAATCCAATTGCACTCTGAGACAGGCTGCAAGATTTACAGCCTCATCCACAAAAGGGGAATTCTCACTCCTCTGGGGAAGCCTGTCACAGCTTTATCTCTCCTTGCTGCTGAGTGTACGCTACAGCTGATCTAAGAAAGCCTTGGAAGGTGCTTGAGAACTGGAGCTGCTGGCAAGGCAAAGAAGTGGCAGTCATTCCTCACCACCTCCAAGAATTCACATTCTGCAAGGGGGATTTTCCTCTCATTTAAGCCTGAAAACATTCCTAAGAGGAACAGTTTGTCCTCAAGTTGGCATAATGTTGCACTAAACATTTGCCACTTACTGTTCTGCAAGCTGTTAAGCTTCCTGTGAAAGCAGTAAGATACCACAGAAGCACTTTTGTAAACAGAGTCCTACATCATTTCATTAAAGTACTGTGGCAATACTTATCTGGGAACAAAACAAGGGGAAGTTGCATCAGTATGTGGGCTGCAAATGAGGCAAGGGGAACCATTATTATAAATTAACACAGAAAAACAAATTCTATTCAAACAGGAAGCTTTTTACGAGGAAGAGCTGTAGAAAATAAAAAATACAACTCTTAACACTAAGCATAGGACATAGACAGAAATAGAAGGGTGTAATTTGAGAGTAGTCCTGACACGCATTTACAACTGAAAATAGAAGAAGAAAAGCAATGAAAGTTTCAATAAGCTCTAAAAAAGCAATATAAATAAAGGAGAAATCCACTTCTTACAAAGATTCTGGACAAATGAGCAAGAAGTTCCTTCCTTTCTCATTGTACAAGGACACCAGCACCATACTAGGCAACCCAGACCCCTAGCTTGTCTAAGGCTGTTGCTATTTCTTGCTAAATGGTAGAGTTTATTTGCAGTCTTGAATCATAATCCTATTTGCTATGTGCTTTACAAGCCCCCTACTGCTAACAATCTAATTACAGCACAAGAATTAACAGATAAACCCAGATTAACATCACTTAGTGGATCTAGGAGGTCCTTTCTAGTTTAGCATCTTGGGAAAGCACCCTGAAACATTGTTCACCATGACAAACACTGGCTGAAGGACATCAGCACCCTAACCACTGACATCTGCACCCTAAGTGCCAACAGTTTTTGCAGATTTCTGATTTTTTGAATGGATCTTCAGGAATGTAACAGAATGAGAGCCCTGTACTTGTGTGTATCTCTGCAAAAAGTGATCAGGCTGAACCTACTCAAGAGGTGGCAAGTAAGCAGATTGCTGGAATAAACCAGTTAAAACATTACACTGCAGAAGTTTAAACATGCTTAGAACTGAAACTGAAACTGGCTAGACCAGAATGTCCTATGCCTGCGCTACTGACCACTCTTTCTCTCCAAAGCACAGTAGCTGCTTCCAAACTGCTTGGAGGGAATAGCCTCTATTCTGTACTAAGTCCCAAGTACTGTCCAAAACCTGCTGGAAGGAGTCTGAGCTGACCCAGCTTAAACCTAGGACTAGGTTAATGATCTAGTACTACAGATGACTGAGTTTATTACTCCAGGAGATTTAGCATAACGGTGTCACCTGTGGCACTAACCCCGAGGAAGTCATAAGAAAGAATTAACTGGAGAACAATGGTGCTTTCAGGATCTTACTGCAAAAGTGCAGTAACTGGTTTGCCAGAAAACAAATTGATACTCTAGAAAGAAATCTCCTAAAGGAGCTTTTGTTCAGCAGAACATTGCTTGGAAGGGTGAGCTCGGAACTGTAAGCGCAGAAACTATTTTCTTTTGTCTGCTCCTACTGTAAGGAAATGAGTTTGGTGAGTGCTGCAGAGAGGAAGGCTGAGGAGGAAGACAAGGGCATTCCTATTTACAGACAGACAAGACCGCATCAAAAAAGTGCCCTACTTGACTTACATAAGCAATTTGAATTTCTGTTTATGTAAGCAATCTAGCTAGACCACAAATACTTTCTAAGTGCTCAGGTGAAAAGTGATTGCAAGTCTGAGAAAATGCTCTGAAATGCAGAGCCCAAGGCTGTGACATCAACTGCAGACCTCTGCATACTAAGGCTGGATGATGGTGCGTCATGACATGCACAAAATGGTAGTATTTGTGAAGCTCATCATAACCAAGTCCAGTAAAATTTATTGCCCTTAATCTGCAATTGACTCAGAACAAATTGACATAATTGAGAGAATCTGACTTGGAGCCATACATAAGGATATAAATGTATTTTAAAATCTTATGTATAAGATGAATGCGTTTTCTGTTTCTTAAATTACATAAATGAGCATTACAGTTTCTAAAT